CTATCTATCTCCCTCTTTCTCATTCTCTCTATCTATCTATCTATCTATCTATCTATCTCTCATTCTCTCTCTCTCTATCTATTTATCTATCTATCTATCTATCTCTATCTCTCTCTCTCTCTCTCTCTCTCTCTCTCTCTCTCTCTCTCTCTCTCTCTCTCTCTCTCTCTCTCTCTCTCTCTCTCTCTCTCTCTCTCTCTCTCTCTCTCTCTCTCTCTCATCCTCTCTCTTTCTCTCTCTCTCTCTTCTTATCTCTCTCTCTCTTGGGTCCTTTTTAAATCTATAACACGTGCGTGGTTTGTCACTTTTGTGGTTTACCTTGTCTCGTGTGCGACGCCATTTGCCTTTCCAGGTCTGACTTTGATATTATCATTATTTCATATTAGCGTTACGTTATCTGTTTATCACCTTTGATACAAGGCGATGCAGTATAGATCATTTGTTATTTTCTTCAAGGCCGCTCAGAGGCAACGCCTGTGACCCTAGCCATATGGGTGCGCTCTAAAAGTCGTTATGCGTGAGTGCGAGGTCATTCTGTACCCGATGATACCGCGGGGACGTACGTAGCAAGCCTAGTTGAGAAAGTCTACGGACTATACACGCCTTGGGAGACGATGCCTGGGCGGCCGCGAGATTGAGGGCGACAGGTGGGCCAGTAGTAGATGGAGAGAGATACGCGCACCAATACATTAGCGGACGGACTAAGACGATGCGAAAGGCGTGCGAAAGGTGACACTCGATAACTGGACGGGGGGAAAAGGGACTCTCCATTGGGGACTCTTGTAGAAGGTGGATACGAAGAGCGATGGATTGAAAACTAGCACGCATACCGCCCAACCATGCTGTCACTCGGCATGATCTTCCTGCCGCGTCAGGCGAACGCACAAATACTGTATCACATGACTCAACTCTCGTCAACTGTCACAGTATGACCCCTTTATCCCTCTCTCTCTTTCTCTCTCTCTCTCTCTCTCTCTCTCTCTCTCTCTCTCTCTCTCTCTCTCTCTCTCTCTCTCTCTCTCTCTCTCTCTCTCTCTCTCCCTCCCTCCCTCCCTCCCTCCCTCCCTCCGTCCTTCTCCCCCTCTCACCCCTCATTCCCTCCTTCTCTCCCCTCCCAGCCTCTCTCCCTCCTTCTCTCCTTCCCTCCCTCTTTCTCACCCCAACGTCCTTCTCCCTCACCACCCCGCCCCCCCCCAGTCCCTCCACCCGGCCTCTCGCCACACCCTACGCGACCATCTCCCTCCCCCCCACCCTGCCTCCCATCCCACCCACCCACCCACACCCCGCCCCCACCCACCCCTCCGGTGAGTCACCCCTAGCACGCGGCAATGATTTAACCGCAAAAAATGCGTTG